TGTAAAACTACCGAAATCCAAGGATCCGATGACAGGAGTCGAATACGATTCGATCCTAGTTATCATGGAAAGGCTGACAAAATACATGATCTTGGTACCATACAAAGAATCAAGTACAGCCGAGGAATTGGCATTCGCATTCCTCAAGGAAGTAGTCTCGAAACATGGACTACCAGAAGAGATAATCTCAGACAGAGACAAGCTCTTTACCTCATTGTTCTGGAAAGCCCTCACGGAGCGCTTAGGAGTGAAAAGGAAGCTGTCAACAGCCTTTCACCCCCAGACAAATGGAGGGAACGAACGCATGAATCAAGTGGTTGAGACATACCTTCGTTGTTATGTAAATTACCAACAGGACGATTGGGTTGAACTGCTACCACTAGCGGAATTTGCATATAACAGTTCAACAACGGAAACAACACTTGTTACGCCATTCTACGCCAACTTTGGGTACGAATTGGAAGCGTATCGAGAACCACTGGCTACGACGACAGACAATCAGCTCGCTCGTATCCAGGTCTCGAAAATCAAAGGTTTGCACACAGAACTCGCAAGTGAGTTGCAGTTTGTGGCAGAACGTAACGCGCACTACTACAACAAGCGACGTAGTCAGGAGCCAACGTTAAAAGAGGGGGATAGAGTCTACCTGGTACGGAAAAACATTGACACAAGGAGACCAAGCAACAAACTGGACCATAAGAAACTAGGACCATTCAAAATCAAACAAGTCAAAGGACCTTTGAATTATGAACTGGCGCTACCAAAAACAATGAACATCTTCCCAGTATTCCACATATCCTTGCTCGAACCAGCACCACCGGGAGCACCACCAGCCCCGCTTACAGAAATCCAACCAATCAACCCTAACGCCGAGTACGAGGTCGAAAAGATTCTCGACTGCAGATATGTTAGAGGCAAGATCAAGTATTTGATCAAATGGCTAGGATACCCACAATCGGAGAACACATGGGAACCAAAAGGGAACATTATCCAGTGCTCGGAGGAACTTCAGGAGTTCCACCGTCAAAACCCAACATTGCCCACATCTCCTGGTTCGAAGAGAAGGCCTCCAGGAAGGTCGGGTCGAGCCCAGGGTCGAGTTCGAGGTCGGGCGCACCAGGGGTAGGAAGGGCTGCCAGCCTGGCAACCTCCCCCCCCCTCTTTTCCGCCTCCTCCCTCTCTTCCTTTTCTTTTCTCTCCTTTTCATCCGCAGCATCTAATTCTTCGAGCGAATTGAGACCCGCTGTTATCATCCGATGCTTCTTCTTACGAAGAGCTTTCTTCTGCTTCATCAGGCGATTTATCCTGGCCTGGGCGAGGTTTATCTTAGCCTGAGATTCTTCGACCTCAGCCTCGATCTTCTCCTCCTGCTCATCCAAGCTCTGCCAGTCGTAAGTAGTAGGAAGACGGTTAAGGATGCGAACATCGCAGGATTTCCCTAGGGAAGTACAGCGACCACAACGACTATGTTTCTCATCGCGAGAAACCACACACTCCTTTTTCGACTCCTCACAACGAGTACACGGCGCCATCCTTTTTCCAGAAAAGTTTATTTGGAAACCAAGTGCTCGAGTATCTCCGCGACTAATAGGAGCGGACATGTTGAAAGAAGAAGAAGGCCGCTGGCCTTCTGACGATATTTCTTAGCGTATACTTAAGCGTGCGGACACGCTAGGCTAAGAAGGGGATAGTGTCACGAATCACGTGTTAGCACGGGACAAGTGAAGTCCAGGCGGCGCCCTGAAAGGACAAGCACATCAGAAAGACCTTATAGCAAATAGGGATCCTTAGACTAGCTAAGCGATCCAGGGATTTCTTAGTATTCATAGTCACGTGATGAAAGCGCGACAGCGCGCGCAAGCGAGCTGTCGCAGCGCGACAGTCAGGGACAGCGATATTCAGAGAACGAAGGTTCTATATAAGACTGGCATGTCTGCCATTAGATAGGAGCTTCGTGCTCAACTTAGTTATCAATCTTATCATATTAGTTTGACATCTTTGATACAAGTAACGAGTTCACTTCCAAGTGAACAACCCGATAGTCTTCTTCTTATCATAGCATACCAACCAGCGAACACCCAGCCAAGTTTAGTTAGCCAGTTTGAGTATTCGTTACAATTATATGGCCAGATTATTTGACAAATTATTTAAATAAGCGCGGATTTCGTACAAAAAATAAACTGTAGATTATTTGTATAGATTTTATACTAGAGTTTACTTTGCCCGAGTTCCGATAGCGCGTAATTCACCCCCCTACTATATTCTAAGCGGATATACGAGCTATTATTATGATATACTACTTTTTATTACAAAAACACCACGTCGCTACCACCGCTAGCTATTACGATAGCGGTAAGGGGGTTAGAATATAGCGATTCTCTCTTCTTGCCGTTAATATATTATACTTAAGGTAAGTATAGCTACTATAATAGTAATACGCTCTCTTTCCTCCTTAAATTCGTTATTCGAATCGAAATCTAGATAATTAAGATCTATTATAATAGTAAGCGAAGTAGTATTTATAGTTATAAGCGTTATATTATAAGTAGAGTTAAATATTAGTAAAGGGTATAAAAGGGCTCGATATATACCGTTTATATAAAAGTAAATTAATATATTAAATAACCTTATAAAAGTCGATTATTTTATTTTAGTAGAGCTAGCTTATTTTTTATCGAAAAAAAAGTAAATAATCTAAAAATATTTAGTAAATCGTACTTTTTAATAGATTATTTTTAAAAGTTATATAATCTAGTTAACTAATCTATTACTAAACAGGGCCTTAGACTAATAAAGATAATTAATCTAAAGGAATAGAATTATAAATTACCTTAAAGGAGAGCCCGGGGTTTTTAAAACTATTGTATAACTATTGGTAATCGAACTTCGTTCTAGGAGCTTTATAGGAGCGTTCCGACTTAGTAATTATTCCGAGGAATAATTAGTATAATAGCTAATTATTATTCTATATAACTATTCTACGATTATTACTACTTATAACTATTTAAATTTAGAGAATAGTTATCTCTTATAACTATTCTAGAATAATTTTAGAATAGTTTTTAAGAGCTTCTCTTAGATTTAAGAGAAGTAGGGGTTATATAAAAGATTTTAAGTACTTAGTACTACTCTTATAGGGTTAACCTTAACGCTATATAAATTTAGGTTTTAGAATCGGTTAATTCGAGTAATTTTAACGGGCGCGTATAGTATAGGTACTCTAGTATAGGCGCTCTAGCGGGTAATATTATATACGTATATAGGTTACGCTAGTACACCTATATAGGTAAGGCTATTTAGAGTCTTAGCGTACCTACTACTAAGTATACCTCCTACTAGCTAGCTAGGTGTCACGAATCACGTGTAAGCATGTGACAAGTGAAGACCAGGCGGCGCCCTGACAGGTTAAGCACTATCATATCTCTTATAGCAAATAGGGATGCTTAGGCTAGCTAAGCGATCCAAGGATTTCTTAGCATAGGAAGGATCACGTGACCATGATCGCCGGATCGCCCAAGTCGCGAGCGACGAAAGCCATGTGTGCGATCCAACAAGAGAACGAAGGAAAGATCACGTGACCGTGATCGCCCAGATCGCCCAAGTCGCGAGCGACGAAAGCGATGTGTGCGATCCAACAGAGAACGAAGGTTCTATATAAGACTGGCACGTCTGCCATTTAGATAGGAGCTTCGTGCTCAACTTAGTTATCAATCTTATCATATTAGTTTGACATCTTTGATACAAGTAACGAGTTCACTTCCAAGTGAACAACCCGATAGTCTTCTTCTTATCATAGCATACCAACCAGCGAACACCCAGCCAAGTTTAGTTAGCCAGTTTGAGTATTCGTTACACTAGGTAACGCTCGTAGAATAGTCCTAGAACGCTCCTATAACGCTATTAAAAGCTCCTAGGACGGTTATAAACGATTAACTTAGAGAAGTATTATCCCTTAGGTAATAATTACTAGCAGAAATAATTAAAAAATCCTTAATTATACTAAAACTATTACTAAATATAATAGTTTAAGGAAGAAAGCGTGATATAACAATCAAGGGCTAGTTATCTTTTACTAATACTTATTTTTTTTTAAATTATTATATAACGGTTATAGGACGGTCCTAAAAACCCCGGGTCCTCCTATAAGGTAAAGGAGTGTTTGAAATTCTAATAGAATTTTGTAAACAAACCTTTCTTAATAATATCCTAAGAAACTCCGGATTCTAGTAGTATACATTATATATAGGTCTACAAATTTGAAGTCGTTCTCCTCCAAGGATTTGAGCGAGCAAGCAATTATCGCTTGTCTATCTCGAGACTTTTATCTCTCCACCTAGGAGATCTGCCAAAGAGCCAACACAATAACCAACCCCGACTAAGCAAAGCCCCCAAAAATAGTCCAAAAGTATTGTACACGTATACAGCCAGCTTTCAATTAACTATTGGCTTACCACCAAACTACCTTTCTCCAACAAACAACCAACACTGCACCGCCTCTCCGCGCCGCACCCACCCACTCCACTTAGCTAGTCGTACGGCCCAACCAATCACATTCTATTCTATCGACGAAGACAACAACCAGAAGCGGACATCCTGCAATGAGTACTAAAGTAGTACGTACATATACAGAACTTCATATGCATACTCCATCTAGAATCGAACTCTAAATCCCTTTACGAAATAGTATGTGGCGTCTTCACGTACAGTAGGACGAACACCAAGGCGTAAGGTCGTAAAGCTGACGGGAGGGTCTCGATAGTACGTGTCGGAACCCCGAGGGTCCGCTTCTACAATAGAAGAGGGTGTCGTTGGGGTGTGCTTGTGAAGCTGGTGTTCTGCGATTTGAAAGTGGATTTGGAAAAGAGTGTATGGAAGTTTTGTAAGTTTGAATTTCATGGATATATTTGAACGCCGAAAGAAAGATTTTCGGGTACAAGTACTGTACTGTATCAACAGGCGTAAAGAAACTCCCTTAACTGACAAATTATCAATCTTGATATACCCCATTCCTATGCAGCTCAAAACCTAGGCGAACCGCATCATAAAAAAACGCCCCAGCACCTGATATTACTCTCCTCAAAAATAAGATTCCATTCAATTCCCCACCAATACATGTACTCGCACCATTCACCAAACCACCTACTGATGCTGGTAAGGATTAACAACTCCTCCTTGGCCTGGCCCCATATTGACCTTCATATCATGACCATTCCCATTGCCATTTGGTGCATAGCCCTGTTGTTGAGGGGGGAAATGCGCTTCTTGAGGCAAGTGTGGTTCTTGGGGTTGGGCAACCATCTTCTCGTTATTGGGGTGGTAGCCGGTTGGGATTTGGGCGTTGTTTCCTTGGTTGAGCTCGCGGTAGTCGAGTTCTTTTTTGGTTTGGATTGCTTCACAGCATGCGCAGCCTGGTGGTTTGTTGGTTTTTATTTTTGGGGGGAGGGGGGGGCTTACAGAATGCGGTGCAGCATGCGCCGAGGGAGGAGCCTTCGAGGTCTGAAGGGGGGTTCGTTAGTAGAGGTGCTTAAGGCAGGAGGAATGTGAGGAAGGCAGTTTATCTCCCTTTGCAAAGACCGATCTTCTGGATGATTGGAAAGATCCAAGGTCCATGACAAAACTTCAACTTTCCAACTGAGGAGACACCGAGCTTACCTACCATATTTGTCATTCATATCTTGACGATCAATCATCTGCAGAATCCAACCAACACCAAAGCAATATTGCAAACCGCACCATCCCATACACCATCCATTGAACGTTTCAGGGTTTGGTTCATTCTTCTTGATACGTTCGTGATTTTGGCCAACGAGAACACAGGTACAGCAGCATCCTTTAAGACCTATTCGAAAAATGTAAGCATAACTCAGATCGAAATTTTGGAGTTAAGGTGAGTCCTACAGAGACCACATGGCATGCAGTTAAAGAGACCGTTCTTCCATGGTTGAGGCATTTCGTATTATGAGTGAGTGGAGTTCAAGATTATGGGTTGTACAGAAGTTTGTGGAAAGGAGAGGGAGGATCTTTTGGGAAATGTGAAATCAAGATCGACAAGTGAAGAGAGGAAGCTGATTGATATAAATGTAAAAAAGTGGGGCTGTTCTGAACCGCTCAAGATCTACTAACTCCTCTGCGGCGCAGGGCTTCAGCCCTGTTGGCTCAGACCCCCGACAAAGGAGGATTAGAATGTCTCCATGGTACAAGCCACACGAGTGGATAATCGCGTCTTGTTACCGCATGCTCGCTAATGGGGTCCAAGGCTGAGTGTCAGCACCCGTTGTTGGTATGACTCCACCAACGAATGAGGTACCTCGTTACTGAATGATATACTGTAAGGAGTATTTACCCGTCTGGACGGATTCCTGATGAAACGTGATACGGCATTGAAAACAAATAACAATTCCTGATGCGACCCCTAGAAACACCTGAGCAAGCTAGCCGTTAATGGGGGCTGCTTTTCCAACTGCCACACAACAATTGCTCCCAAATTGAACGACTATAAAAAGTTCAAGAAGCCCAGTACTGGTTGTGCGAAAGACTGGAGAAAAGTCCTTCGAATCTTCCTGTGAATATAATATGGCCTCCGGTTGAACAGTTAAACACGTGCGCAGGAAATTAGATCAAGTCATGCTGGCTGCCGATTGAGGTACGCAAACTCCTTAGAGAAAAGGAGCTCAATCCTGTGGATAAGTAGCATATTTAGTTTGAACGAGGTATTAATTGCTGCGCAGTGCAGTATTAAAATAGCCTGGTACACATGCACAGTGTGAGACCCTTCGATCCTTCGATGTGACATCAGCTGGCTGGGGCTGGTATCCAATCCCAAGGGGAAATTCGAAAGCATCACCGCTATTTTGTTTTCTTTCCAACGTATAAAGCAGGCTGCCGGAATCAAATACAAGCCGCATCTGCGGCTCTCCTCGATTGTCGTGGAGTGTAGCTCGGTTGAGGTCGGGGTACTGTAGTAGTATTTTATATATGAGGTTGTCTTGATCCCTTGTCCGACCAGGGCAAGTGTTGGGTACCCCTCTCCATTGCTCGCCCCAGTTTTTATGGTTAGCTGGTATCAACTCACCCTACTGAATTGTTTGTATGTTTCTTGCTTCGAAGATATTACTCGAAGCAGATGATTGGAGATCGTGAACTAATATCTCGTCCTTTCTGTCTTATATACAAAATATAATGCGCGACTTCGGTCAGCAAAAGTAGCCCGAAGTCGAGCATTGAAGACCAACAAACTACTCGAGTGCTATCTCCTTAATATGGTCGAACCGAGAACAAACACGACATTGAGACAGTAAGCTACAGAAAATCCTCTTGTTACCTCGGCAGTTGTCAGGGAAGAAAACCTTTGAATTGGATTACCATTAAACTGGTGTACTTTCTTAGCTTCTCTATGGTGCAGAGCCTGCCAGTACAGTACGGGGTGTAGACTTGTACAGGAGTAAGTCTTACTCCACCAGAGTATTCGTGCGTACCCTGGATTCTCCCGAAGGCCTTTAACGTCGTAGAAGAGTAAAAGAAGTTGAGTTCATTATTTTCTGTGGCCGCCGATAGAACTACAAAGATCGTGAAGGGAGATTACACCGAGCTTTGGCCCTGCGTACAGTACTGCCCGTATCTGGCCAGCACCAACAAGTATCCAACACTGAGATCATACTTTACTCTGATATTCTGAAGCCTCATGTTTTGCGACTTCCATATCAATATTGCTGAACCAAGAGCTTTCATGTCTCCAAAGTCTGTTTTGATCACTGGCTCTTCAGCTGGTGGCATCGGCAGTGCCATTGCCCTCAAGCTCGCCAGATGCGACTCCTCAAATCACATCTTTGCAACCGCTCGCAACACATCTAAAATCTCGGAGGAACTCTCCAGTCTTCCAAATGTCACTATTATTCAGCTGGATGTGTCATCAGAGGAATCGGTTGCAGCTGCTCTTCAGGTTGTAACTGACAGTGGAATTGGCCTTGATGTGCTGTTAAATAATGCGGGTACTGGCTATGCGATGCCCATCCTCGATATCGACATAGAAAAAGGAAAGGAATTGTACGAGGCAAACTTTTGGGGCCCTATTCGACTAATTAAAGCCTTCTCCGGCCTCTTGATCGCTAGTCGTGGTAGAATTGTGAATATGAATTCAGTTGGTGCCCTTGTTAATACGCCCTGGATAGGTGAGTTCACACAGTGCAGAGCCTAGCTCGTCGTCTTGCATTCTAGTTGTTGGTCTAATCCTGTCTGCAAAGGTGTATATGGATCTTCAAAAGCTGCACTGGTACAATTGTCGGAGACGTTGCGGCTTGAGCTTTCACCATTTGGTGTAGGCGTGACCACAATCATGGGTGGAGTTGTTGACTCCAAATTTCATACAAACGATGAATTCACCTTACCAGCAAACTCTCGTTATGCTTCGATTGAGGAGATCATTGCTAGCTGGGCAAGTGGGGAAGCAAAGCCAAAAGGTTGTTCTGCTGAGGCGTTTGCCGAAACTTTGGTTGAAGACATTGTTGGCAACGGGAAGGGGAAGAACTTGATATATAGAGGTCCTCATGCTGGCATGATCAAATTCATGACTGAATGGTTCCCAACCATTATGGTGGTGCGTAAATCTGAAACTTCTTTGCGTGTTCAACTTACTCATAACCGATTTTTTCACAGGACTCGTTCATGAGTAAGGGTCAAAGATTAAAAGAACTATCAGATGAGATAGTGAAAGGAAAGTGAGGGCTGGAATTGAAAGGAGCCCGTTCATTGATTGATGCTTGTAATAGAGAATGGAATTAGTAATGAATCTCCCCGACTTTACAACTTCCAAATACCATTGAAAACTAAAGACAGTTCAAGAGGCATTCTGAACTTTCATAATAATATGAAGAATCGATCAATCATATTCAAGAAGGGCCTCCAAGAGTTCGCCAGAGTGCAAAGAAATGCTTCTACCAGTGGTTCTGATGTTTGACCGAGATTTTTGCTAAGAGACTTGAATCGTGTGGTGATACAGTATAGAGAAGAAACTCGACTCAAGGATACTCACATAAGGATGTCCTCGGTTACATCCCTGAATTTGTGGTTCCCAAAGTGGTTTTTGTACCTAAAATAACCTCGATCCAAAAGGAAATACTCGTCTACGACAGCTCAGAAAAGGAATGAAACGACTCTCAAGTCCTTAAAAGGTCTCCGCCCGACCGTATCACTGTATCGAGTTTCTCTTCTACCAGGATTGCATAAGCTGTTTCAGGCCTTGCAACGTGAATAAGATACTGAAGACTGTGATGGGCGACGATTGAAGTGAAAAACATTGCTTTTGGACTTTACAACAGAAAGATGGCATAAAAGAGTGCGGCAAGGTGAGAGGTTTTGAAGACTGTCCGCTACTTCCCACATTGGCGACGACTCCACAGGCCTTGCATTCTGTCGCCCTCTTTCGTTGGGCTCTCAGCAGCAAGACTTTCAAGTGGTGATTTCGATAATCACCTAGAAGCACTGGTAACGGAAATATCTTGCTCATAAGGTTTATGAGGGTTCCAGCTTAAAGGAGAGGCTAAAACAGTGTGCAACGATCGCACCAGAAGTAAGATAGTGCCACTTGGTCTTTATGCTTGAAATCTTCCTAGTGAACTTAACGCCTCGCAATCTCATGGAGTCAGATATCGACATGTTCCTCGGCGCAATCATACCCTAGGAGTACTTTCGATATCAATGGATCATTTCCAGCTGAGTAGAAGTGGAATTTGCGACAGAAACGGAGTTCGCTCACTAGCTCAACATTATCTCAGGAGATATCCACCTGAATTTTTAAGTTCCATGATCGGCATGTCCATCAAGACATGATATTTGCTCCATTGCGGACCCTATCCACAAGATCCAGGGCTATTTGAGAATTGAAGTCGCTTGCTCCCAGAACTGTGTGGTGAACATATTAACTCTGTGCCACACAACATGCTGAGACTGCGAGACTTTTGCATCTGGCGGGAATCGTAGAGACATATTGTACTTTGTGTTGCATCTCCCAAGTTTTGGTCGGGGAGGTCTTCCGAGCCTGTGTATCCTTCCGCATATTGTCGTCGACTTCTCGATGGATCACAGCAGATCATGGCTCCGCATTGACTATATTGCGGTCTGCAGACTCTTCCGGACAGTGCTGCTACCCCACGTTTGAATTCTTGACAGGCTGTAGTAAGGTTGCACTGCGTCGATGTCTTTGGTCGAGGGCTGCTATTTGTTCAGAACCACCGTTGGGAGTTGTGTGAATGCATGCGGACTTTGCAGAGACTTTCCCCCCGTTCGACTATCCACATTTCGACGTCGATTCGTTGGGCGCCATCGTATAGAATTGTCGTGTTGCTGGTGGTTGCGTCCTATTAGAGGTTGAACCACTCACACGCCCACCGGTGTACGTAGCTCTGCATGCCTGCTATGCGCCTAGTCGCCTCACTGTGGACACTCCCGTGGAATCAATGCGATATTGCAGTATGATTTTTGGAAGTCTCTGGATTTCCTCCACTCGAAGTTGCTAGAATCGCGAGCTTCATATATAGCCACTGGTGTTGCGGTTGTCGTTGTCATTGTCGTTGGGAGAGAAATTTGAAGCTCGCTCACGCAAGCATCGGGCAGCCACCTGCACTTCCCAATCAGCACGTTCCACGCACGATCGCTGGGCACCGCAGCTAAGAATAACCTCCGAACACAACAACCACTCAACCAGACATCTGCTTCGCCAGACCCTCCCCCAAGAGCAGAAATTGAGTCTGATCAGCGCATTACCATCACACTGTCATCCCACAGCTTCATTTGCCATCTTGATATAGTTTGCGCGACGTCGTGAGTTCCCACCTCGGTTTGCAGACCAGTTCGGAAGTGGAGGAACCATGGCGGAAGACCCAAGTAAGAATCTTCTCTACTGCGCTGCGAATTCTTCCTTTTTTGGTGCTGGAGTTCTCTACTAAAACAACCGGAAGCTGTGTCTCAGAGGGCACAAGGCGGGAATCAAGAAGTATAAAATCCAAAAGCTAACGTAATGGTTCGGACAGCGGCACCAAGCCTAAACCTCACCCCAGAAGAGAAACGGGTATTTGGACAACTCTTCCGGCAAGCGGATACGGAAAGCATTGGAGTAGTGACGGGAGAGGTTGCGGTCAAGTTCTTCGAAAAGACGAGGCTTGAGCCGCGCATCCTGGGAGAGGTGTGTACTTGAGTACTTGAATACTATGCAGTGGATATGGAGGAGCATAGCAGGAACATTGCGAATTAGAATGCTAACCTCTCTCTTCTCGCAGATATGGCAAATCGCAGATAAGGAAAACCGAGGACTTCTTACGCCTGCGGGCTTTGGCATTGTGCTTAGATTAATTGGGCATTATCAAGCAGGACGAGATCCGACTCCTGAGCTGGCCCTTCGTCCTGGACCTCTCCCAAAATTCGACGGAGGCTCCCCAGCTGGAGTGATTCCTACGGCCCAACCTCCCTCGGGTCCTCCTCCAAATGCCTTACTGCCCCAAGGAACTGGACCAGGTCCTATTAGAGTTCCCCCGTTGACACCCGATAAAGCCGGTCAATATGCTGCCCTTTTCGAGAAGTCCGGAGCACAGAATGGGCAACTCCCTGGAGAGCAAGCTAAGCAGATATTCGAGCGGGCAGGCCTACCTAATGAGATTCTTGGCCGAATATGGACTTTGGCCGACACAGAACAACGAGGTAGCTTACAGGTGACGGAATTTGTTATTGCGATGCACTTGTTAGCTTCATTCAAAGCTGGTGCGTTGCGAGGACTACCAAATGTCCTCCCAGCAGGTCTCTATGAGGCAGCCGCCCGACGACCAAGCAGACAGGGCTCTATACCAGTTATCCCAAGACAATTCAGTGGAAACCCTGCCCAGCGTGCTGGAAGCCCTCTTAGTCGTCCCGCTTACACTGCTCCTCCTCCACAGTATTCCCAAAACACGGGTGCTGGACCTGAATGGCTGATTACACCATCGGACAAGGCTAAGTTTGACAGCATCTGCATCACCCTGGATAAAACGAATAGAGGCTTCATCACTGGAGACGAAGCGGTACCATTCTTCAGCGAATCTAAGCTTCCGGAAGAAGTACTTGCTCAGATCTGGGATCTTGCCGATGTCAATCAAGCAGGCGTCTTGTCAAGAGATGAATTCGCTGTGGCCATGTACCTCATTCGGCAACAGCGAGGAAAACGGGATGGTAGAGATTCATTGCCGACTACTTTACCTGCTAATTTAGTTCCTCCAAGCTCCCGGAATCAGACCCGACCAATTCCAGCATCAACAGCTCCAGCTTTCGATGTTACTCCAACCCTTCCCAAGTCTGCTGCCGAAGATTTGTTTGGGCTTGATGCTCTATCCACCCCTCCCCCTAATGCCCCTGCTCCGCTCCAAGCACCCCAGTCTACAGGTGGCTCGGGCTCGTTTGGAGTGAACAATGATCCTTTTGGAAATAAGGCTCCTGGTTCTCCTGTCCATAATCCATCACTTCAGTCATCATCTGTTTTCAAGCCATTTACCCCATCTTCGTCCTTCGGACAATCTCTGAATCACCAAGTCACCGGTGGATCAAGTGGTTCTGCACCTTCCCAACCAAGGAGCTTCCAACCGCAAATCTCTGCGACGGAGGACTTGCTAGGAGACAACGACCCGGAGATCAGCAACAAATTCACAAATGAAAGTGCAGAGCTTGGTAACTTGTCAAACCAGGTGGGCACCCTGACAACAAAAATGCAAGAAGTGCAGGGACAACGCGCAGCTTCTCAAGCCGAATTGGGCCAGGCCAGCGTTCAAAAGCAGCAGTTCGAACAGCGCTTAGCACAACTTAGGGCTCTATATGAGCAAGAAGCACAGTCTGTCAAATCTCTTGAAGAGAAGCTTAATGCTTCTCGAAACGAGACTAAAAAGCTGCAAACTGAGATTGCAATGATCGAAGCAACATATCAAGACCTGCAAAACCAGCACAGACAGACTTCTATGGCACTACAAGCAGACCAGCAGGAAAACGCCACCTTGAAAGAAAAGATGCGTGTTGTCAATGCAGAAATTACGCAATTGAAGCCAGCACTTGAAAAGCTGAGATCAGATGCTCGTCAGCAGAAAGGTCTGGTGGCCATCAATAGAAAGCAACTAGCAACTAATGAAAGCGAAAGGGAAAAATTAAAAAATGAGGCGCAAGAATTGAACAAGAGCATCGAGGAGGATACCAAAGCTTTGGCCGGGGCATCTAAGGTACATTCTCCAGTAGCAAGTCCAAGCCAGGTTGCTAGCCCTGCTGCCTCGACGATGAGTGCCAACAACCCATTTTTTCGACGACAAGGAAGTTCATCTGATATTCCGAATTCTCCATTCTCCCAACCAGCACAGCAAACAGATCGTTCCTTTGAAAACGTCTTTGGCCCAGCTTTCGGAGATGCTCATGTCGCCAAAGGAGGTCCTCCTCCTACGAGTTTCAAACCTATTTCCCGAGACCAAACTGGAAGTGGCGAGTTCCCCCAACCATCTGCTTCATCCCCAGCAACTTCTCACCGCGAGTTGCTTTCACAGGCAGCTGCACCACCCCCTCCCCCAGAGTCGCGTCAAATAAGTTCTAGTTTCCTCCCATTTCCGGATCACGACGACTCAATCACGTCTTCCCGACAAGTCTCTGCGCCTAACAGCAGATTTGGGGAAGGATCAACAGGTGCTGATACACCTACGAATTATATGGGGACTACCCCAACAGGATCCTCTAGTGCTGGGCCCGCTGAGACTGTGCAAGCAGCTTCTCCAGGAATCGATCGCAACGCAACCGCTTCGCCTGCTACAAATACTTCAAAAGGCCACATGCCAGGTGCTTTCCCCGGTGATGTCCACTCGCAGATTGTCGCAACTCCCACCGGTGGGAGCACCTTGAGCGACCAAGCTGCATCTGATCCATTTGCCATCAGTAAAGAGCCTGTTCGGTCTGGCAATGCCAAAGATGACTTTGATGCTGCATTTGCTGGATTTGGAAGCTCTGCGAAACCACAAGAGCGGATGAATACTGGCTCTTCCGCCGGCGGTGGAAATGCTCCTGTATTCAACAAGGAGTTTCCACCCATTGCAGAACTGGAGAACGATGACGATAGCGACAGTGCTAGTGAACCTGGAGGCTTCGATGATGACTTTGCACCATCATCTCCTAGTCAAGTCAGACAGTCCAGCGCGTCGCAATCGCCTACAACAGCCAAAGCCATTCCTATTCATGGAGATGGGCTGAGTGACATGTTTTCTGTCGGACCCAATGCCCCCAAAATTGGGTCTGCTTTGAGCTTGGGTACGGATCCTCCAACACCTGGAGCACAAGTACCACCTCCAGCATACGACAAGACCGTATCTCCTAAGGAGACCGCTCATTCAGAAGTACAACAATTTTCTGGACTACTACCATCCCGTGAAATCGATTTTCCAAGTTCTCCACCTATGAAATCCGCAGCCGAATCTTCCTCCCCAACTGCCGCTCAAGCACCATTTGGTGCTCCACCAACCTCATCACACCCAGTCCCTACCCCGCCCGCGAAAGTGCCATTTGATGACGACTTTGATGAGTTTGATGATCTGGAAGACGCCAAGGAAGGAGATGCCGATGACGATATTGCAAATGTTTCCACTAGTGTAGACGACTTCAATCCAATGTTTGATAGTCCGCCTCCTAAGACCGCAGACCATTCCCAGACACAAAACGGGTTTGGAGGTGACAATGTATTCGGAGACTTCACAGCCTCACCTCAGTCAACTCACCCTAAACAAGCTGGCGCCGGGGTTAACGATAACCATGATTGGGATGCAATTTTCGCTAATTTGGACGCGACCACACCAACAGGAGAAGGTCCTCCCGTCGAGAAAGCTGATTTGCCAAAGGCTAACAGCAATGGTACGACTTCAGAGCTTGCTCCAGAGCGACCACAGATTGGAAGGGCACTGACGGAAGCGGGGGTACATGATGATCCAATCCTAAAGAATTTGACGGGAATGGGATATCCCCGAGACCAGGCTTTAGCTGCGCTTGAGAAATATGATTATAATTTGGAAAGGGTGAGTAGCTGGCTCGATATGAATGAAGATTAAAAAGAACGAGCACTGACACATGTGGACCTTGTAGGCTGCGAATTATCTTGCTAGCCAGTCATAGGATGTAGAAAATAATTTTTGAGGGAGGGAATACGGGACCTTTCCTTTTCTATTTTTAATTTCCTTCTTTGTGGGAGGGATGAATTGATGCAGATTGATGGCTCGATACGATACCTTTTCTTCCGAGATGTGGAGATGTGGAGATGTGCATAATTCTCTCTTTCGTTTTAATGTCTATTGATATGTAACTCTATGGCGCCGCATTTATGCAAGCAAGCAAGCATTCTTTTTCTCTCGTTTTCAGACCTGCCTACTTGGTAGTGTACACTTACTTTATTTTCGGTCTTTGGAGTGGCGATGATGCCTTGGTTGATGTTGTTCATAGTCGAGAATGAAACCATATTTTTGCGCTGCTTTGAGATGTGAATGGCCGGTGCGCCGGACTATACATGCGTTGCATTACTTTGTGTTGAATGGTGACTATCTCACCGCTTCCCAGTTATGATTTACGAGGCTCAGGGGTTTGAGTTATGGGGTCTGGGTGTTTACGGAGTAGGGCTGAGGTTAGGTGTGCTGGTGGAAGTGAGAGCTTGTGAAGTTGTGAAGGGAGAGAGATTGGGAATGTGGTGTACTGGGTGTCCTTAGAGATATCCTCAAGTTTGGAATAATGAATGAGAGGTGGACTCTTCTGGACGGTATGACTGACTGATTTGGATCCTTCGAGAGACAAGTAGGCTACCCATATCTACCTTGTGATATCTAACATGATTAGTAGACTTCTTGGGGATTTCTTTGCGCTGCGAAAACAAACAGCATCAGGCAGATTCGTGTCTTAGGCGCAGGGAAGATCATGGTAGGATACCTACAGAAGGAGGCTTGTGGGTCAATCAGACGAGCCATTCCCGCTGCGAGGTGAATATTTGGAGCTCTCCCCAAAGTTCCTGCATTGATCGTCGGAGCGGCACCACAGATAGCAGAGCCAACCTCAATATCATCATTTGTTAGCACGATTCGAATGGCAAGATTCAGAGGAGAAGATTTATGGGATGGGACAGTCTTGAACTACAAAGTTTTTACTTGCACATATCTCTTCCCAGTGAATCCCAAAGCCCACCCTACCACACATGTATACAACCAACAATAAGCAGCCCACCAGCATCCACCAATTATACACCTGCTGGTGGTACCCTAGGTAACTGCAATGGCTTAGTGGTCCGGAACGCCCAAGGGTTACTGTACTAGCCTTGTAAAATATATAGTACTTATAAGCCAATCAATAATATAAAACTCAGGTCATCTGGTTTTAGGTCCGCTGCGCTCCCTATATTAGGAGTTGAATTTTTTGCACTTTTTTGACTGTTCTTTTGGGGAAGGGAGAGGGGTTTAGTAGTCTACTCAGTTTGTTGAATTGTGCTTCTAGTGAAGTAAGAGCTATGTTTTGTAGTTACTACATCACTACATCAAGTGCAAGTAGGTAGGTAAAAGCCAGTCATGTAACACCACCGCTCGTGCTTGTTCAATGCACCAGATTTGTGATTTTGGAGGTTGTTGGAAAGGGATATTCTGTCGCAAATTGTGTTGTTTCATGCATGTACTAACAGCTATAGCCTGTTCAAAGGGGCAAATGAAGGTCACCAGCAAGTGCTGCCAAGTGTTACAGAGCCTACAGTGAATAGAATTCATGGAAATGCTTGTAGGTGAGTAGACTGGTCTAAATTGATTTGAATATAGCAATGCAATTTTGAGATCATAATTCCTGGGTTTTGACCTCGCTTAAAGGGTTAAAAGGGGTTCACTTTTGTCTTGAATAACCCCAAGATTCTGCGTTGTGTTTTAGGGATTTTCCAAAGACATAGTACAGTCAGTATATGGTCAGTTGGAGATTCTCAACTACATGTAAGTGGTTCTCTTGTTGGACGTTTTCCCCAATTGAAAGTGATGCCGCTTTACGGATTCCAGAGTTTATGCTCCTATCTGTGTTAGAATTGGTTAACGTCTTTTGCCACGCGACATGATCTATACTGGGCTTTACCCTTTAAGGAAATTGCACCTGGATGGAGACGTGGTTGTTGAAAATTTAAGCATCAAAAGATTATAAGATTAATCCTGCTGGTGGTCGTCGTTCCTTCCTCAATTTTTTCCTGCCACAACAAAATCATCCACTCAGCATTGCTTGACCTTCAATTGCACACCTCACAAGATTCAAGCAATTGCACTCGAAAGTCGTCTGGAAATCCATCATGATGAAGGCATTCGTTGGTCTCGTATTGCTCTCCCTCCTCTCCTTGGGGTTGGCCACTCCAACGATCAGCGCTCGTGGAGCCTGTGCTACCAAATCGGTCACTTACATGCGACAAATCTTCGAGGTCCAACCAGACACGCTTGGAAATCAAGACATGATGTACTCGGACCGTGTAGGAGGTGGTGGATATGGTGTCTTCCAAACACAAGTCAACCAAACCTGGATTAGTAAGGCTACCAGATCAAAACCTATTCCAGAGCAACACTAATATCTCTAGACGGCGAGGTTCATCTTCATAGTCCTATGCCTGCTATCATCAATTTCCAAATCCCAGCTGGTGCTGTGAGTAACTCTTTCATTCGTCCTTTCTTCTCGCTAGTCTAACATTATTCCAAGACTCGTTGTCAACTTGCTCTCTCCGACTCCATGGGTACTCGAGATTTCCAAACCCCCTTTTTCCAACAACCACCAACCATGAATATCGTATCTCTTCACCCAAACTCTCTGCATCAAGACAATTGGACATACAACGCAGTATACAATACCCCAAACGTTATCAAGAATCCCAACTTCGTCAACAAGTTTGATCTCGCTGCTTGGGAAGGTGAACTGTCTGTTTGGGATTTCCAGTGCCCAGCTCCCATTGGCGACCATGGCGATGCCTTCTTCGTGGTGGAGCTGAATAGACAGAGTTCAGGTGGCGATGGCATCTGGGGATTCAAGACTTGGCAGGTGCTTGAGACGGTTCCAGGGCAGCTTACGCCTAATGACGAGAAATATGATGTCTATAATGGATTTCATATTCTTATCGACTGTTAAAATGGTATGTCGTGGCATTCTTTTGAAAAGCGTGCAAGGAATTTCACATATATCAATGGGGGTTGATGTTCTCACAGTCTTGGGACCTAAAATAACTTGTTCTAGATGCCGAAGTTTGTAATCATAGAAACTCGAATTAGAACTCAAAATAGAAGCTGCTGATATTTCATTGAATCTTCTTTTACAGTGTTCGTATGCACCAAAGACCTCAATGTTTTGTGGTCACGGTATATCCCCTCAACGTTTCATTTATACATGTAAACTTACAATTTCAAGGTATCCTTTAGTCCTGAAAACGAAAATGAAAATACTGATTAATATTATATATCTCAAGGGTCGTCGCCCTGCAGTACTTTGTCCGTACTCAATTACTCGAGAAGGCTGTCAATATATCTATTCGAAGGACCTAAACAAGGGCCCGTTTTTGTGTTCAGCTGGAGGCGAAGCTGGTGTAAGTGTCTATATGAACCTTTTGCTCCTGTTTAATTTACCATTGAAATGAAGCTAGTACCTCTTCTACTGTCCCTAAGTAGCTATCGGTATAGACGGGGTTGGTGTGCGCTTGGCGAGGGAGCCTCGGAATCGTTCGAGATGACATGGTCCTGTTACCACATCTCCTGGACGGGAATTACGTTGAAATGAATTTTACAGATACAATTTCATGGTTATAACTTTGAGAATCACGAAAGGATATTTAAATCAAGTAACGTGACCAGAAAGGAAGTAGCTACCAAGCTAGAAACTTTGACGTGGTCCTATTAGCATACGTGAAGTAATAAGGAATGAATGTCAAGTTAATCCTAGGTTCAACATAATCGAACAAATTCTGCGAGGCATTCTGGCATAGTGTACTATCCGCTTAGATGTATTTAGCGAATTAGCTAACAGCCTAACGTAGTACAAGCCGCCGACCGCTCTTGCATGTCTTCTTTTAGGAATTAGAGAGATATCATCTGGATCTCCCTCAAACAGGCTCTCTCCATCTACAAGACGAGTGAAGTTCAAAAGCGATGGGAGAAGAAATAGAGAAATGAGGAAAACTAGCCAACATGGCGAATAAAATACGAGAAAAGCTTGGTAGAGGCCTTATTTTCTGCACCAAAAGCATTTAAAAAGTCAGACTATTGCTAGAAATAAATACGAACTCAATTTCCCGAATTCAAGGTACTGTGGTAATACATTTTACCTCTCCGAAGACTCCATCAAGTCGCCAACCGAATTTTGATGGGAGTTCAGAAAAGAGCAGTAATCAGTCCTTAATCTTAACTAGCTTGGTAGCTAGTATAATGAATTATCCGGGGGATGTTGACTTGAATCCTCTTGTATTTCTAGCACAATTCAGTGCTGACCGTGCAAAATCAAAAGCAAATATCTTCTGAAAATCTAATCTGATTACAAGCTTCCAAGAGAACTCCTACTCCCTACTTCAATCCACCCAATATAACACAAGATGGTTTATAAATCACCAACCTCACATCAAACCCAGCATCACACACCAAAAGCAAGCCCATAGCCCCACTAGAAACCTTCCGAACACCCTTTCCTCCTTAATCCCCTGAAATGCCATCGCAAACCCATAAAGAACCCCAACCCTACCCAACATCACCAATTAAACATTTAAGAAACTCCCCGAGGAATGCGCGAAGTCCAACAAAATCCTTTCTATTCCCTAACCAAGACTCCCAAAAAGCGGTGTATCATAAGCGCGCCGCTCTATACATTCCATTGCACAGAGCTAGAGGTTTGACGGGATATGGAGAATAAGCGAGGGAGTTTGGGTTGGATTTAGAGTTGAGTCTTGGAAGGTTGTAGAATGGAGGGTACCAATGATGGCACATCAACCATGCAGGGAGTGTGCTACAAACCACTCGCTCAAAATATAGAAAGAAGGAAGAGAAGGATCTCTGTCTCGAGTTGGAGTTAGAATCTGATTCGCGAGTAATCCTGGGACGAGTTTCAGAGGCAGAGCAGAGTCAAGCAAACAACCAAGCAAAGCACTAGAATGAACTACAACAATTGTCCAGCGTTTGATGAAAGGAACAGCCATTAAACCATCCTATATCCAACATCCTAATCCAGGGACAAGGAATGCGCGATATGCTACAAATTTATTTCCTCAAAGAGAACCATCCATGTTTCCCTCAAGGATGATACTCTTGTGAGCCAGCCATCTTGATTTGAGTCAAGAATCAAGAAGCGAAAAGCAAGAGTCATTCGTGACTAAAATTCTATCTATGGATGGAAAGGGCCAGATCCAAAGGTGAATAGGAATGTATGATTCAACTCGCCACAAAACCAACCAACAAAACCAACTTGCCGCATCTCCTCAAAGACTTTAAAAGGCAAAACTACTACAACATAATCCAACGCCTTAACTCAAAGACCACAACAAATTACTGTATAACTTAATCCAAAAGATCAAACACTATCCCAACCAAACACAGTCCAACATTCCCTCCCAAAGAAACCCCACAAAGCTCTAATAATCCCAACAACCTCCTAAACCAGCAACAACAACAAATCAAACCCTTTATCACCATGACGTAACAATTCCGCGAAATGCAACATTTCCCACATCAAAACACAGCACTTAATGTCGCAACATCACTGTTGAGAGCTGGTTAGTTGGTGGGTGTTAGTTCCTCCTTTTATCCTACACCAAGAATGTTATCAAACCTTAGTTACAACTTACAAACCAGATCCTCACAAGATCACAACATCTTCCCTTTCAAATTCCTTTTTTATATCATTTCTTATCCCTATACCAAGAATATTATCAAACACAGGATGCACAAAAAAGAAAAGAGGCACAGCGCCTTGTAGAGGTACTCATTACGTTTGTTAAACGCGAAGAATGTTAGACGTTGGTTAGTTGGACAGTATCATAGATAACATTCAGATATGGTTCAGGTTAAAGGACCAATCAACTGATATCTGAAAACTGGTAGCGACATAATACGCTATAGGACTTTGAACAAAGCGAGACACTAGAGATGATGAAAATAAATTTAATCGGTAATGGTAAAAGACGAGGCATATTGATGATATTGTTTAGTACAGCACAGTACCTGAGAGGACCCAGGAGAATACAGTAAGCCCAAGAACTAGGGAGACAGACTAAATAAATCCCATCCTAATCTTATACGGTACTTGTAGACAAAGGGAAAGACATTAGTAGTGGTGTTTTTGGAATAGGTGCGTGCTTGAGAATTCGTGAAAGGACGAGGAAGTCAACCGAAATCCCAAGTACCTATAGTCAGCAATCTTACCGTGGTAAGGCGTCTTTAAGGAGGGACTAGTAGGGAGTAGTAGATGGCATCAGGTGCTAGCGTAATAGAAGTAAGACTTGTCCGTAGGCTCTGAGTAGCTAGGAGTTTTCTTCTTATACATATAGAATTAGGAAAAGCGGCAGCTGGCCTCTCTTAGTCGGACATTTTTGCCTAAGGACCCGTAATCTTAACTGTAGAAAGCTGTTCTCGAAGTAGCTTAAAAGAGAGCCTTAGCAAATTTTACTACTCTACTACTTCCCCAAGCATCCTCCTTAGAGAGGATTTACTACGGTAAGTCCGAATATCTGGATTAATTACCAGACTAATCGAAAGAGGTTAGAACAATAGGGGAAAGTCAGGGGAAAGTATTCACTGCTACCTTTCCCATTCATCGCTAGACTCTCGCCGAGTAGACCGAGCATACTCGGAAGTGCATACCGATCTCCTCTCGCGGTTCAACTACCGTCAATCCCACCTAAAGCCTGCATGACAAAAAAACGCGGCGGAGAAACCAGATCCATGCGTGGTCTACTCCCGAGGAGAGATGGTGATGCTGGAAAAACACGGCATCTACTCGTACCCATCCATGCAAATTTCTCCAATCTCCAAATTTGCCGATCAGATGGAGTTACATGAACCAGGGGAGTAGAAAAGCTGCGTGTATGCGTACCGTACATCACGCCCTCCACTCCGTGATTTGGGAAAACTTTTCCAGATTGATTGAATGGCCAAAGAGTGATGCGCAGGAACAGTCCTTCCTTTGGAAAAGGGGGGGTGTCATTCTTGATCAACTTGGTCGCATTGAAATGGTCAATCCAACGTTCCACGTCTCGGTTGCATTGGGCATCAATGTTATTATTGCATCGGGACTTCTTGAATGCTGTTCAGTAGATCACTGCTCGGGCCTTGTCGAGATTATTGGCTGTTGTTCAGTGTTGTCGGGTGTGAGCCCCAATTTCCCCACAGCTGTTCCCCAGAAAGTACGCGCTGTGAGGGCATAGGTGTGGTGGTTAGTTGACAACTGGCACTGGCCATCAATGGCCTAGAGCCATCAGGTGATTTGGCATTAGAAATACTGACGATAATGCTCGGGACGTCACGGGTGGGTTAACAACCCCCCTTTTCCTTTTTGATGCGACGTCGCTTCGTGATCCCTGAGGCCCTGATTTAGATTGACATCCATTGACCAATTCAATCTCTCAGCCTGGCTGAACACTCGTGATCGGAAATTATAGGGGAGTATTCTGTACGCGAATGTCACTCTCTCAATGACATCAGCTCCCTGACCTCCACTCTCAAACTCATATTCATGATTTCTAAACCCCAACGAGCTTTAAGCGCCAGGAACATGCAGCTTGTCTTATGTCTGTAGGCATAAAACATCGCACAAAACTCTCACCCACTGCGGCGCGTACTGACGTTGAAGAAAAGTGAGGAAATTATATGCGCCGAATAGGAAATTCGAAGTTGTCTTCTAAGCGCTGATTGAACCGCCTCGACCAAGAAGCAGCACTGGTGAGGATTCGGAAATTCGGGTGATTTGTTTCATGAATGGTATGAAAAGCAATATCAAAAGTACCGTAGAAACACGTGAAGTTTCTTTGCTTCTTCTTCGCCATGTTGCGCTACTACTGAACCGGTTCGTGTTTCGGTTATGGATAATCCAAGCATTGTTGCTTCTGATACTGGTAGGTTCCGCAAAGACACCGAACAAAAGGAAGACGGTGATAACAACCGGTGCCGAAGGCGGTGGCGGCTATAAGTGACAATCCAACAGACGGGGGTTAGTTGCCGATTATGGAAGCTGGATAGGAAAAGTGTGTTGTAATATGTTGGTAACGTACTGGTAGCGTGCTGTTGTGTTGGTCGCATGTGAGGGGGTGCTAATAATCGAGTAGAGTTATGATAATAGATGTAACGTCAATCTAAAAGCTACGCAACTTCTAGAGAACAAAGAAAAGAAGGATAATCTCTCTGCCTAGAGGGTAAATAGGCTTAATTCGAAGATTGTTGGTTCCATAGCTTGTTCTTGCTACAATCGGACATACCGGACCTGATGCTCTTTGAACCCTCGTAATCTTTCTCGGACCTCGGGGAATAGCAGCGTCTTTACTGTCGAGATTGCAGATGATGTCTGCTGACTGCTTGCTTCCATTCCCATCACATCTTGGGCTCTTCTCAGCGTCTGCAGACGGAGACGATACGGACCAGGATGGTACGGTATTGCTTCTTACCGGCCGCATATTCCAAAACAAAAAAACAACGGAGGTTGGGGGGCAGGGCTGCAGCTGAGAAGACAAGTACTCGGCACGTGCGGAAGCTGGTATCTCCCGTCCCAAAGAGAGCATTTATTACCGTGGGGTGTGGGTGCACGAATGGAAGGGCAGGAGATGGGAAATGCGGCAGATCTTCCAGGCGCCCGCGAATCACATAATTCGACTTCGCTCCATTTTCTTTGCTTGCCGCTCCGCAGATTGCCAATCACAGTCGTTGGCGCATTCGAATTTCATGGCTGGTCCATGGCCACCCGCTTTTTCTTTTTGGTGATGTTGGCGTGCCCGTCATGGCATCATTCTCAATTTCCATCTGTCTCTTTTCCTGCACTCATGGCCTTCGAGCTAGGTACCTCGTAAGCCCGTCGGTGGATCCCACCCCTCCAGCATAGCAAGCATGCCCACCTGCCCCGCGGTGCAGAGCAGAGCACCGCACCGTAGTGAGTGAGGTGAGTGTGCAGTTCTTGACGTGGCCTGGTGTCCAAGTACGACGTCGACTCTAAGCCAGCCCAAAGCCCAAGCCCCCTCGAATCAGGATGGGGTACACCGACATTTGTCAGGAGTCGAGTCTGCCGCCCTTTGCTTCTTTGACCGCCGGCCAATTGTTCATCGCCTGGGCAGTGCGGAATCGCTCGTCGACGGTGGGGGAGATTTCGAGGAGTCTCTCATGCGGAGGAACAACATTCGTGTTTGTGGGTTGAGGTTCTCGACAGATTTCGCGTGCCAGTGGATTTCCAAACTTTATATTCCCTTTATGAATTGACAACCACTCACGACCTGGTCCACCAGGCGCCCAATCCTCAAGCTCAGAGCTGCCAGAGCTAAGGTTAATCGCACGGTCATAGCCTCAGCCGCACCACGAGTCTGGAGGATCATCAGATTGGCCGATTGCCACCGCTCTCTGCTGGGGTTATCTTGGTGTCTCTGTCTCCCAGTCCAGTGATCGTCGGCACGGAGGAAAGAGAGGGCATGCTCGCTTGTCGGTGTTGGACGAATTGGAGGACCTTGCGGGGGATCCAGTACCCTGCACTGGTGAAGCTAGCACTAGGTTTGAAGTTTGGGCTTCACACACTTTACACACTTCACACACCTTTCCGGCGAAAACTCCGACCTGGTGGGAACCTGGAAGCGAGGCGAGGAAGCGAGCCTGAAAGGGCCAAGCATGTTGAAATATTTGTCAGCGATGACGAATCTCGCGATGACGAGGTTATCTACGCCTTTGGTATCTACTGCACCAGTACCTAGGGGTTGTAGAGTAAATGAATTAAAGGATATCTCTTGTATTTCTATTTGGTCAGTATGTGTTGTGATAAGCACTTATGCTTCATAGGATCGGCTAAGCCTAATGAGGCAATGTTCATAGTTAAAGTTGTATGGAATCTTTTGGCGAGCGCTAGTATTGTTTTGTTTATATAAATCATCGTAGAGTGCTCCGCACGAGTCCTAGGTACCAGAGCTTGGTACCTTTACAGTACTCTGTACGAGTAACTTTGTGATAGCTACCAGTTTATAAATACTCCAAACCGCTAAAGGCTTGTAGGTCACGGAGAATTACGTAGCCTCGAATTTAGCTAGGTAGGAAGGAACCCCTCCCGAGCCATGGCACCAGAACCAGCACCAGCAGGACCAGCAAGCATGGTGGACGGCGAGACGGCGTTGGTGGTGAACAGGGGTCAGCAGGGTCAGCAGGGTCAGCAGGGGTGGGAAAGGAAACAGCCACCGTCGAGCCCACTAGAGCCTGCCAGCACTAGCTTTTCCTAGCCCCAGCACGCCCCAGCCTCCGACCTTTTAACGAGGCCACCGCTGCTCGCTCCGCCAACCCATTTTTCTCCTGGGCCACTCACAACTCTTCTTTCCTTTCCATCAACACCACACGCAACCAATCATCGCACCCATCAAATCACCGTCCAGAACCCCTCCAAAAAGGCTCGACAAAGTTGATTTATCGATAGCTGCAAAGTGCCAGTGTCAAGCGCAAGCGCAACCTCAAGCTACGCCCACGCCCACGCTCAAGTCGTTGGTCACCGACGAGTCAACAGCCGTCGAGCGTCAATTCCCGGCGCGTCGGTTCTCGTACGGTGCCTGTACGTACTGTGCTCTGTACGTACTGTGCTCTGTACGTACTGTGCTGCACTCTTCACTCGAGTGCGCACTCGTACTCTCGTCTCGTGGGACAAGAGCCAAGTTGCCGACCAACACTCATCACCCAGCACCACCGCACTCGTGCCCTCGTACCTGGAGCGTCGCAGCAGCCTGTTCACGCTCTGCACGGAACACAACCAATCGACCATACCCAAACTCTCGCAATATCGTCATCTTCACCATCGCCGGTCCAGTCACCGTCGCGACAAGCACCATCACCAGCGCAATTGGCCCTCAACACCACCCCGTGATTCTTCACTGCTGCGGGAAGGATTCTTGCTGGATTCCATTCATTGCAACCAGAGACTCGAGAATTCTCGCATCGCAAGGTGAGTCGCTCCCAGTGACCCGGTGTACTGCCGCTGCGGAAAATTAACTCCCAGCGTGCGAGCTCCCAAGATCTAGCGATCGCATCGCGCAGGTTGCGACGGAGAGGCGCGCACGCCAACCGTTGTCGCTGTGGGAGACATAATTGACTGACATGTTCGACTGGTCACAGATCGTTGCTCTGGATTTATCTTGCGACTTCTTTGTTCCAGAACGACCCGGTAATCTACGGCGCATACAAGCTAGCTTAAGCTCCCTCACTACTTGCCCTCGACACCCCCCCCCACCTTTTTCCTCGCCAGCATCCGCACGTCGCGTCAACGTTCACAACACTAGAACGTCTCCCCACCATCATCACGTCCGAGAGCTCCATAAACACGACACAATTCCCCTCAATCTTAATCAGGATTAACTTGAAAGACTTGCGCCACAGGTGACAGAAATAGGAACTTGAAAGTGGAAGCTGATTGACAAGGTAAGCTAGTTTTGCATGACTATATGCAAGGCCAACGCATCACACTGGTCAAGGCAAAATTCAACGTCGGCTCATAGCTGCCCCCTCCCAATCGCTCACGCCGTCCGTCCAAGCTGCTGCCCAAGTACGATGGCTAACGTTATCGATAGGATCGCACCTCTCAAGCCGTTGATAATTACTGGGGAAAGCCTCGTGAATTGAGTGGCTAGTGAATCTTCAGGCTCCGCGACAGTTGCTCAATACATTGTCTCGAATAGCTTCGGACGCGCATCACCTCAACACTGCCTCACCTCTCACGTGTAGTCGAGTCCATTTCCCGTTCCTCGAGCCTTACGACTCACTTGAACGCCTCCCAGACGACATCAGCTTGCATATGCTGTGCCGCGGTTGATTGCGGTGTACACCTACCACATTGCCTGCCAGCACATCCACGCATCGAATTGAAGAACGGGGCAGCTTTACTAGTCAACGTACGGCCACCTGCAAAGTTGCGACAACAATCCAACGCGTACTCGAGATTTACGAGTTCAAGCATTTCGACAATTCGCACAGTCCAACTTTATCACCCAAAAATTACATTGTAAACTCGATTTACGATCTAGAATACCCCGCAACACATTTCCAGACTTCGTACTAACGCGACGTACCCTTTGCGCCGTCGCGACACGAACTTGATCCACACACCACCCAAAGTTTTTGAAGGAGAATAGCACCAATGATGGATTTCGCGCAATATCAGCAGCCGGCGCCAGCCCAGCATGCGCACAATCAACATATCCAAGCACAATATCCAAACTCGGGCCAACATCCAGGCGCAGGAGCAACGATAACTTCACCTTCGCAACAACCACTTCATTCGCAACATGCGGTCCATAATCAAACCTCACCTATCCTCTCATCACAGCCCCAACAAGCTGGGCAGACTCAAGGTCATCCAATACACCAACAACAACAAATGACATATCAACCAAATTATGGAGTTATGTCTAGCGCCCATTATGGCATGTCTGGGATTACTCCCCAGGCTGCTGCGATGGCAGCAGCAGCAGGTACATCAAGCGGCGCGTATTCTGGCTATCAAATTCAAGATTCAGCCCTGTCGCAAACTTCCCCTAAGATGTCGTCGGGTATCAAGCGAGAGCGTCAAGGGCCTCGATCACCACAGCAGGTCAACAACCAAATAAATCATCAGATCAACCAAACCAGAAGAATGAGTCAACAAGTTGGAGGTAGTCCTGCTTTACAGAACTCCCAGCCGATCATGAACCATGCACGCCCTGCGGTCCCTCCTAATCAACATCCCCAGTCACCTGAACTTGTTTCAGCCGTCGAAGAATCACCTTTATACGTTAATGCGAAGCAATTTCACCGTATTCTGAAGCGAAGAGTCGCTAGGCAAAGACTGGAAGAAGCACTTCGGTTGACCTCGAAAGGAAGAAAGCCTTATCTCCACGAGAGCAGACATAATCATGCTATGAGAAGGCCTAGAGGACCAGGAGGTAGATTTTTGACCGCCGATGAAGTTGCTGAGATTGAGAGAACCAAGGGTGACGGTGGTGAGGATGACAAAGTTTCCTTGGACACCCCTGCGAAAGGTATGCCGAATAGCGGTGGTGGTTCAGGGTCCAAACGCAAAGCAACCGATGACAACACAACACCAAGTAAGAAGGCAAAATTGAGTGCAGCTCCTGTTGGTGGTCGGAGTAGTGCGGAAGATGAGGATGAAGATGAGGACGACGCGGAAGATGATGGCTGATGTCTCAAAAATTGTCTGGCATCAAAAAATATTTCTTTTCAATATGTGCAGTTACGAGTCACGACAGCGGTTGCTTTTTTTGGAATGGTTTTTTCTTTCGCATCTTCGGGAATGACTTTGGTTCATCCGCATTTCCATTTTTTCTTCAAACATGCAGGTCTTCATTGTTTAGGAAGGAGATACCAGATGGGTTGTCGCAGTAGGAGTTCTTTTGCTTTGTTGGACGGTAGCATTGCCTTGGAATTCGAGGGGAATATGATTGGAGCGGGTTGCATAAAGGGGGGATGGTGGAACAGGACTCTCGCTTCTTCACTTTCTCACTTTCTACTCTGAACAATCGCTTGCTAGAGTACTAGAATACCCCTGACTTGCATTTTATTATTATTTCATTTTGCTTCTTACAGAAGCTGTTCGTCTCTTTTCTTTTTTCATTCACCACATTGTACGATTTGGGCGCCTTTCCCCGTCGCCTTTGTGGGTGGGGTTAGATTTTACTCTTGCTCCCTTTTTCTTCCTTTACGAGATACCCTTTGGATAAGGAGGTAGAGGGGTCTCTTCATTTGAGGGTTGGACGGAATGGATGGGGGGATGGGGAAATTCGCTTTGGCAACGGAAGGGAATTTTAGAAATTTGGCAGCATATCCCTCACCGGATTATCAAAAACAGTACACACAGAACGGAAGATTCTCTCGGGATTTTTACTTGGTTGTTTTTCTTTCTTTAGCCTCTTCTTAGGGGATAGCAGTTGGGTGGAGTGACTCTTTGATAGGGAGATTTGAGGGATGAATAAATTCTTGATCGTGCCTTTTCTTTGACCCTTGCAAGGGTTGTAATGTGTTTGTGATTCATTCAATCTTGGTTGCTTTGTGAAGTGTTAACACTAATCGTTGTCCCAGTAGAGGGAGACTCATTGTTCATTGTATCATTTCCTATATCTTACGGGGGTCACATTCTTCAAGGAGCACAGTACCCTTAATTTATTAACAAGCTAGAATACGAATTAGAAGCACCAACCCAACCAATTCGAAAGACACCATCCCAAAACAAATAAGCAAATGAGAATTCAATATCCATTTTTCTATCCCTCTATCAGACAATCCATGTAAATGAATAGTGAAATCATGTGACGATACATCGACGTCATTCCACTTCTTCCATTATAGAACAACCTCAGCTGATCTATACCCGCTACACTATCTCTCTTTATTACCCATTCTTTTATAGGTTAACACTAACCAAGTACTTCTTATTACACATCGCCAATCACTCAAACTCATAAGCATCGACATTATTTTGCACCAGCGATGCCGTCGCCATCACAGGTTGATGCTGCCATCCTTGAGGCGTTGGATCTTGAACCTGAGACGTCGAGGATGGTCTCACATGGGGGATCGGGGTTCTCAGGGACTTCCAAGGTGTTGGGTTTTGTGAGGGGTGGTGGTGGTGGGGATGAGAGGGGAGAGGGAGAGGAAAAGGAATTTTTTGTTAAGATTGGGAAGGGGGAGGGGAGTTGGGAGGTGATGTTTGCTGGTAAGTTACCTAGTGGATAGGATTTTTTGAAGGTGATTGGTTGGCTGTGATTTGGATGTGGGGTTGGATTTGAGGTTTGAGATGAGATAAGATGAGATTCTTGGGGTGGGTGGGTTTTGATTCTTTGAAGGTGGTCGTGGGAATGGAATCGTCTTTATATATTTTGATAACACTTGTCTCCGCCGCTCTCAAACATACATGAGCTAATCCACATCCTCGTCTAGGCGAACACCAATCCCTCAACGCCATCCATACCGCCGTCCCCTCATTATGTCCCAAGTCCTACGGCCACGGTACCCTCAAATCCGGAGGTCACTTCCTCGCAACAGATTTCCTCGACCTCTCCCGATCCACCTCATCCACCTCAAATGCCCAAAGTACCAACCTCTCCCTCGCCTAAAAACTCGCCCGTCTACACACAACCCCCGCCCCAACACCACCAGGCCACAGCACCCCCCAATTCGGCTTCCCCACCCCAACNCAAATGCCCAAAGTACCAACCTCTCCCTCGCCTAAAAACTCGCCCGTCTACACACAACCCCCGCCCCAACACCACCAGGCCACAGCACCCCCCAATTCGGCTTCCCCACCCCAACATGCTGCGGCAACACCCAACAAAACAACACCTTCCAAGCCACCTGGTCCGACTTCTACGCCCACAACCGCCTCCTCCACATCCTCACCTCAATCGAGAAAAACCACGGTCCAGACCCGGACCTACGAACCCTCGTCCAAAAAACCGCTACGACGGTAGTTCCCCGTCTCCTACGCAACGGCCATCTCAAATCCGCGAAAGACGGAGGCGATATCTTCCCCGTGGTTGTGCATGGGGATCTCTGGTCTGGGAATAGGGGGAGGGGATGTATTAATGGGGGAGCTTTTGAGGAGGTGGTTTTTGATCCGAGTTGTTGTTGGGGACATTCGGAGTTTGAATTTGGGATTATGAGGATGTTTGGCGGGTTTGGGGGGGTGTTTGAGAGGGAGTATTTTGAGGAGAGGGAGAGGTTGGGGATGGGGGGGAGGGATGAACCGGTGGGGGAGTGGGGGGATAGGGTGTGGTTGTATGAGTTGTACGTCTACCCCCTTTTTCTTATTTTTCTTCTTTTCTTCTTCTTTGTTTGAGGGGATTGTGGTTTTTGGGGTTTGAGGTGCGCGGCTGATGTGTGTAGATACCATCATTTAAACCATTTTTCGATCTTTGGGGGTTCGTATCGAGGGGGTGCTGTGCAAATTATGGAGGGATTGATTGGGAAGTATAGGGATTTTGTGGAGGAGGAATCTCAAGGATAGCGTCAAACGAGTTTCAAAAGTAAAAAATCTCAATACAAATCACAAGATATTCATAAACTTGAATCGAAATTTGAAATGCGATCATGGTAGTAGAGACGAGAACAGCATTTGCAGTCCGGAATTTCATCAAGTATAAGACGTAGTTAATGCTCTGTGTACACTCAAGTGGATTCGAGAATATGCCAAGGAGCTTTGAGATAATTGTTCTGGATATCTGAATAGTGGACTGGTTGAGATGTTTTACTATACAGTGTCGTACTTTTTCATCTCGCTAAGCGAGAATAATCAAGCGAGCCTACAGTACAGTATCAGCTTATTGGTAACCACCCGAGGTCTCTTACTACATTTTCGTAGGCAGTTAATGTAAAGTACCGTGCTATGTCATGCTATCGTGTTCATTGTGAGGTTTAAGAAAAATATACTTAGTCACTCGTTGAAATTTGGAATGTCAAGACAAGGTAAATATACCTTGTAGGAGCATGGATATAGGAATATGGTAAGGTAAGTAGTTAATATTATCCCAGGTAATCAATTAGTAAGTTATATATACTACAGGTAGTTCTCCTTTAGAGGAATAGTATAAGATGGTTTATTTAACATATTATTTTCTAGGTAGTAAAATTATTCTTAATTTATTCGAATATGAACAAGAAGGTGCCCTCCAGGTAAATGACCCTTTGATATATTATAGTAACAATATTTAGTATTCGATACGTAAGTAGGCACGGTTATTACATGTACCTTTCTATCTAACATATGATTTTCCTTGTAAATTATTATTTCTTTAATTATCGTATTAATCGACTATTACCGCTGTATATATATAATCCTTAGAATCATGAGCCAAGTCATTGTTACTCTATACTTGCAGAGGTATAAGCGAGGTATAAGCGGGCTACGCGCCTTGATAATGAATTATAGGTAATAGTATTTTCGAAAGAATCGAAAGAGCGGTGGGAATAGTGGTAGAAACTATGGGACTACTTTTGTATAGTACCATGACATGGGGCTGGTAGTATACACTGATTTCATGGAGTATCGAAAACTCAGAGGATTTAGGTAATTTTACCATAATTGGCTGAGATTGTTATGAGAGGTAATAAAGCTCTAGGGATACGAGCCGTGGTATTTGGGAGATATGCTAGAGCATGGATAGCACACTCTTGATAAAGTGGAGGAGTTTGCAGAAGTATGGATAGCTTTACTTTATTATTTCCCCTTTGGGACCTTGCCTCTTCGGGTCCTGAAAAAACATCCTATTTTGTTCCTCCTAAATCACACTTGTTGTCGCACCTTTTAAACATTAAATTATAACAACGTGACTAAAAAGATACATCAATACTAGTAAAAATATAAATGGGTTGATTCTGATTCTACTTATACCTTTTATATATTTTTCCGAATTTTGTAGAGTAAGAAACCTATTATTCAAACAGTGTCTCCTCGGTACGAATTCGGAAGTTTTTTCAGGACCCGAAGAGCTTGCATTATAAGGTCTTGATCTGTGTAGGAGTGTTTGGGCAAGTGATTAGCTAACCAACTTATGTCATCTGAGTTATCTATGTATGTCCATTCCCTTTCAGGATCCTAGAACAAGGTACTTGATCTAATATCTTCTTGTTATCGTATATGTACATTTCGATTTTTGAGTTTACGGTTTCCCATTCAAGAGATCGGACCGGTCGGAATAATGATTAGGCGCGCTACGGGTCTTGGTCCGACTTGCTTCGTACTACCTGACTTGTACTATTGCTATTTACTAAGATATTTAGGTATCGCCAACCTAAACATCGGAATGTACATATGCGATGACGAGGAGATATACCTTTTTATATTGATGTATTTAATTTGACCTTACTACGTTAGAACATACTCCATAACCTTGGTTGGAAGACACAATTGAAATTTGGAGATGAGAACCCACAATGGCGTGCTCGGAGATCCTTCCCGTTCTCTGGAATGCAGAAAGAGCCTACTAACGTGACAATGTCGGGAAAATCAAACAGCAATCAACGCCCTAGAATGAGGATTACTTGTAGAGAATCTCGAGGGTTATAAGGCATTCTACCACTACCAAACAAAACATCCGAAGCTCCCGAGGCTCCCCCGCCCTAACCCCCTCGCTTAACCCACCCCCCAATCAAGCTGCGCACCCGCCCCACAAATATCCCAAATCCCTCCATCCCCAATTAACGGATGTTCTACCACGGAAACTTTATACTATGCCGCCCTGTAAGGTGTCTTAAAAGGCGTGTTGGCGGTGAATGAGGCTGTGGAGGCTGTTTTGAGGGAGTACGATAAGTCGCGTTGTAAATGAGCGACATCAAAATGAAAGCATGAATAAGCGAGGCTCTCTTCGCTAGGTCATGGACTAAGGCCCCATAGAACCCCAAGTACTGTAAATCCATTTTCTGGTAGATAAACATCAATAATGCTTTCACTGGAAATATAAGCGAAGCGAGTAGATAGCCGAATATTGTGATATATTGTTATCATAATACTACGGCACCGAAGCATATAAACATGATCTTGCAAGGAAAGACGAATAAATGTGGTTACATGTAGTTACAAATGAAAATTTTGTTTATCTAAAATTAGCGTATTATGAGGTCTTGAAAGACTACATGCACCGGATTTTCGCACTACATTATAACCTCCCCCCTTTCCATCTGAAATAGTGAACTTGTTCGGAGAAATTCACGAATTAAAGATTGACTCTTCTCTTCAGCCTTGAAGAATGAAAGCTACGATAGCCATACCGGAAACGAAAATCGTACCAGCCAAGCTGCTGGAACGACGTGCACCGTCGCTAGTGCTGACTACAGCAGGCGTGGTAGCTGGAGGAGCTGGAGGAGGCGAGTATGTTGTTGGTGGTGTAACAGGTACCCTGGGAGTAGGAGTAGGAGTTGGTGTCCCAACAGGTGGAATTGAAGGTGTTTCCTGTGGTGGTAGTGGAGGGATCTCGGCCGGTGGTGTTGAAGGTGCGTATTCTGTAGGAGGTGGTGGGGTCTCATGAGATGGTGGAGTCTCGGCTGGAGGTGCCGGAGTGTATTCTGTAGGAGGTGGTGGGGTCTCGTGAGATGGAGGGATCTCGGCTGGAGGTGCCGGAGGAGCGTGTTCTGTAGGCGGTGGGGTCTCGTGAGATGGAGGGGCCTCGGCTGGAGGTGCTGGAGGAGGAGCGTATTCTGTAGGAGGCGGTGGAGTCTCATGAGATGGTGGAGGGACCTCGGCTGGAGGTTCTGGAGGAGGAGCGTATTCTGTAGGCGGTGGGGTCTCGTGAGATGGAGGGATCTCGGCTGGAGGTGCCGGAGGAGGAGCATATTCTGTAGGAGGCGGTGGAGATTCAAGAGATGGTGGAGGGACCTCGGCTGGAGGTGCTGGAGGAGGCGCGTATTCTGTAGGAGGCGGTGGAGTCTCAGGAGATGGTGGAGGGACCTCGGCTGGAGGTGCTGGAGGAGGCGCGTATTCTGTAGGAGGCGGTGGAGTCTCAGGAGATGGTGGAGGGACCTCGGCTGGAGGTGCTGGAGGAGGCGCGTATTCTGTAGGAGGTGGTGGGGTATCATGAAATGGTGGAGTCTCGTGAGATGGAGGGATTTCAGCTGGAGGTGCCGGAGGAGCGTATTCTGTAGGCGGTGGAGTCTCGTGAGATGGAGGGATCTCGGCTGGAGGTGCCGGAGGAGGAGCGTATTCTGTAGGAGGTGGTGGGGTCTCGTGAGATGGTGGAGGGGCAACTGGGAGACCAGGAGGAGGTGCTTCATAAGTGTGCACTGGTGGCTGTTCTCCAGGAGGTGGGTAAACCGGAGGGCTTGGAGGGGCAATAGGTGTGGGAGTGATAGGACAGTAAGTGGTGTATGTAGATACAGTGACTGTTGTCACTTTCCCGTAGCAAGGCTTGCTAGGAGGGCATGTGGTAACAATTGCCGTTGTTGTAAGAGTTACCGTTGATAAGGTCAACTCAGGAGTAGGTGGACTCGTAATTGTGGCAGGAGTAGGTTGGCTCGTAGTTGTGTCAGGAGCAGTTTGGCTCGTGTTTGTGGCAAGAGTAGGTTGGCTCGTAGTTGTGGAATTGTAATAATGAGCCTCTTTTGTAGAAAGTGTCAAGGTGCGTGTTGTTGGGTTTGGAAGCTTCGCATGTTTTTTTGTACATTTTTCCTTCTTACATGATGGCTTGGAGTGATGGGCTGGTGGTGTGTGATGAGGTAGACCTGGCGTGGAAGGAGATTTGGTGGTAGGCTTTGGTGGGTTGACTGACGGACAAGGAGTTTTCGCTTTAGGTGATGGTGTCTGTGGTATCATTGTCAGTATGGTGGTATATGAGCGTTTCGTTGACGTGCGAATATATATTGAAGAGGGAGCACTGTGACTTACACTTATAGATGGGGTGTGTGATGGGGTGTAGGATGAGGTGTAGGTTGACGTATAGGTTGGCAAGTTAGTAGTATCATTATGTTCGGCGTGATGAGAGGGAGGTTGTGCATATGTGTGCTTAACAGGAGATTCTTTATAATGTGCAGAAGCATGGGAAATGAATAGCAAAATACTCAAAGCGAGTGGTATAACACCATGAAGGGTGATTATTAAAGCCATTTTGAACGAGTGAGTCTCCAAAGGTATTGGGAGCGATGGACGGGCAATTAGATGGACGGAATTGAGGACTTCATTGACTTATACACAATTCAGCAAGATCTCAGAGAAAAGATTGGCCATATCGGTTGTCACGAAAACATCATTTCACAACAGGCCACTCCCCGTGAAAGCCCTTACTTTCAATACGGGGCCACTTAAGTAACTTTGACAACAACAAAAAATCAAATGGCTGATTGTTGTGGTACAATACTCACTTTACACCTCTTTCCTTGTAGGATGGCATGTATTACAGTTTCTTGGCAACACTTTTTGGCAGTGCACTTTCCAACAAGAACTCTGCCCTAGAAAACTCTATATCCATATCTCTTCTGCTGATAAACATCTGATCAAAGGGCAAATATAGGACACGTGTGATACCGTGGTAAAACGATTCTAAGGAGGAGACCAGGGTTGCGAGTTTTTTCCTAGCCACTGAGGGACTCAGCTTTCTACATGTTTCTACATGAAAGAGGAGCTGCTGCTTATCGCAATCTAGTTCGCATAAGAATCAAGTACATTTAAGCGCAGGAAAGGCTGTAAAGCGCTTAGATCCGTACTTCATCCACAAACCCTTGTCTCCTCCTTGAGTCGATTTACCACGGTAGAAGAATGCTTAGCCCATGAATCAAAGAAACAGTCCCTTCATGACATCACGTTCTATTTATAGAAAAAGAAGTAGCAGAGAACTTAATGTACGGGTTTCTTTCGTACCTGAAACTTATTTTCGAAAATTCCGTCTGGGTATAGGATGCCGTATAACGGTATGTAGCGATAGACTTTGGCGTCATCTGAAGGGATGACAGAGGAACTTTCCCTCGAGCCACCCCTATAACCTTTCAGCGGAAATTGAAAGAAAGAATAGGTATTTCCGGGCAGGTTCGGATCCGAAGCTATGGTCTTCAAAGTACCAGAGCTATGAGGTTCATCTGGGCACCGTTTAGGTGTAATTCAAACTAAAATCAAGCAAAAGAGGAAATTACCACTTCTCATGGGAAAGCACTACGGCTTTGGCGAGGACTTGTTAAGCTCAATTGGTCTCGAGCAGAATCTGCTCATACAATAGCTTTATATTATTTACTTTCAGTAAAGAAGTGACCTTACCACTTTGAGAAAACCCTGCCCGTATTTGGCTGTGCATCATAATTTCGGCACCTTCAAAATCATAAATAATCATCACGTTTTTCGGATTCTGTTGAACGATTGCATGGAACAAGGATCCGATCTAAACCTTCCTTTCCATGTATACAGTAAACATGCATGGAAGCCTCGAAAGTATCGCCCTGACAGTTCCGTGATATTCCCAACACAAAAGCCGGATGGAAGAGTTTGGGAACTCGAAAATATTTCGCAGCAATTATGAAGTTGGATCGCGTGTGCCAATTCCCGTGGTGAAAAAATCTTGCTTTGATTGTCCCAACGAAAATTTTAACAGATGTAATGTTGTAGTGATGTTGGAAAAACGACATCGCGATCACGCTATCGGAAGCACCACGACTCGCTTAAAATAGATTGCTACTAGACCCCTTTCAACTGTCACTCCAGCCATCTTACGATGTCGAAAACATTCTTGAATGCTTATTAGCTCATAACAAAGTTCCCGAAATGCTTTAAAGTTCTTGGGTTGAGAATATCGTATTTTCACTTTCCCCGCACCGCTGTCCAGGCAATTGTGCAGGGATATTGCCTAACGTGCCTGACACTCTTCAATGTACATCCATGTATTAAGAGGCTGGCAAACTACATAACATATTAAAGGCCGAGATAGCAAATTACGAGCCTCTCCACAATTACAAGCAATCCGAATTTTCCTATTAACACTGGACCTCATCGGACATTCGTAATAATCCCTTAACGGGTTGTCCCAGTTACATTGTGTCATATGTAGGCCGAGATGGCGACGAAATTCACAAACTTTCGCTTTCGACGTCCGCTTTCCCGCTTTTGATATCAGACTCTGTGCTGATATTGAAGGTTGTTCTTATCAGTTTGCCGATCGAGCTTTGGTACTGATGGTCAGTGAACTTGAACAATGGCAGTTATAAGCGTGATCGCCTACCCTACGCTTAAATCGAGCAGAGTCTAGCTGCAAAAACTGGTTGTGGAGGAGCCCGAACACGGACAGGTTCGATTCGAACGTTGTATTCAGATGGGGGAACGACGGGCTTCGTGGTTTGATTACATGAAATCTACATTTATTTATATTAGTTTACTAGGTCTATTCTCTTGGAAGTACAGCCCGAAAGTGGTTCCAGTGCAAACCCGAGGCGTCAAAGGTGCCCACATGGGGAGCAAGTTATGACTGTTTTACACTTGGAAGAGAGATACTCTCCAGGTGTTTTCTACCGCCTTTGAAGTTTTAAGTTCGCAGTATTAAGTGAATTCATTGATATTCTTTTCGTACCCACCCTCTGCCACCTCCCTTGAGAGCATCCTGTACGATTTGTTGCTTTCTTCCACGTAACCTCAGGACTTCCGTCACTCTCTTCTCGTTGCCGCTCCCTTGCCTCATTCCATATAATTCTTCTTTGGCTTGGAATTGGCTCTGATTGCTAGCATTTATCCATGAAAGGCTGTATAGTGAGCACCGTTATCTTATATCGTTCTTTCTAGGTTTCTTTTTGCTGCAAACCATACTATGTAAGCGACAAGATGCGTTATTCTACATACCGGTGTCCACATTCATCATACTCCTAGAATCGAATCGAATTACACGTTACTGGAGGGTATTGAAAAGAATCGAGAAATTATCCTGCTAATTTCTTTAAAATACCCTGATAAATAGCCAATACCACTTATCAAGCTAATCGTCTAACCTCGGTTCTTGAATGCAAAACGGGTGAAGTCTAGCAGGACAATCACTTTAGGGACAGAGTACTTAATATCAAATAGATCATGTCTTGAAGCGAGGTCTCGCCCTATGCGCTGCTTGTTGAAACTTGTTCTACTCCTTTCGAGCTTCAACAATCTGGCGGTCCCTCTAGCTATTTTCTTGTCTGTGTCGGTTGGGCGCTTGTGAGGAGGAGTGGGTAATTTGGGGATGATGGGCGAGAATAGTGTCTGTACTATTTAGACTATGAGAAGACCTACTAGATAGCGTACTAGATAGCGTACTAGATGCGCGAAACCTGACTTGGGCGAGGGACATGAGGGTTCTTTCAAGCTTATAAATATCTGGCTTACTATGTCATATCGCACTACTTCGGAAAGGTCGGCTGCAGTGTCGAAACGAGTCTTGTCTTTTCGCTCCATCCGGGCTCTACAGATCTCATGAGAAGAGCGAGACAGCTAGACAAAGTTGATTTGAGATAGCATCAAGTCCAACAACGGATATTCGGCGTGGGAATCTAAGCTCTGTATATCTCAGTCCAGCAGAGTTGCAAGTATGTTCGCTCTGGGCCTTGAATAGATAACTTTGGCTCAACTTAAACATACTAAAATACAACTCTACTCAACAGTTCAAGATTTGAATTGGGGGGTTTCAAAGGGAAATGAGCTGGGTGGAGATGTGGAGTCAGTTCTCTGGATATCCCGTTAATCTAAATAGTTTTCTGCGATTTCCAGATTTCAAAGATAGATAGTCACCACCCAGAACGTTCAAGCAGTCGCTTTGTATAGGGTGAGCGTCTGCCCTCCCCGTTTAGTGTAGAGAATTATAACAGCTCAGTAGTATTAGTTGTCTGAGTATTCTCTAACAACAACTATCTTAAATGGTACTGAGGCATAGGATACAAACCCCTCGGACTGATCAGACATATTTCCATCCAGAAATTCAAGAACGTCGAAGGTTTCTCTAAGGGATAAGTTTACTTGTAGCCATGACAGCTACTTGTGATCGATTTGCCGATTTGACTGTTATAATAGCACATATGATATAACACCATACAACAGAAGAAGTTCAGCCATTCTAACAATAGACAACGAAGACTGCCATTGACTGCTCACTATATTCAGACGCTTTCCCCAATACTCAAGACCTCATTCGAAAATGAAACATGCCTTTTCTCCTTCATCTTCTTAGGGGTTGATCTAAGTTATGTGGTGCACACAGATAGTCAGATCGATATATCGTGCCCACATCCAGATTATTCAATTTTCATTCACGAAAAAATGCTTCTAGGAATCTACAAACATTTCAACTGGACAGTAATCAGTAACTTGAGAGTTCTTCTTGACCCATCTGATAATTTCTCTCCCCAACGATCCATGGGCTCGTTTATTCTTGGCAGTACCATCCCCCAATGGTGAACCAACATATTTACCTCTGAAAGGCGACGAGAGTGATAGGAAGTGCCATCTATCTACCCAACCAATAGTCCGATATATTCTCAAGGCAGAACCACACCTCGAAATCGCACCATCACATCAATACTTCAACGATACTAATAGCCGTAATCTCCAAATTTCTGCAGTTATCTTGGCTAAATTGCTAGTTTACATTTCAATGACGACACTATGGACTTTGAAGGTCCGAGACTTAGAAGCAACAGAAAAAGGTTGAGTCACATAACAACAATCTATAAAATAACTTACTATAGATAGATGGAAACATATGGTCCTCTTTCGAGCTCTAGTTCAATTGATATCGTTCAGTGCAGGCACTCTAGTTTAGCTGTTGTGGTTCTCGGCTAAGACCGTGATTTGAATATTGTTTTTCATCACATATGGCTCACATATGGGAGGGATATGTCGGTCTATCCGTCTTTTCGGGGCATGCAGAAATGGGGAAATAGCAGTTATGGATGAGGAAGCAGCCAGAGAGTATTCCTTAAGAGATGCTATCAACGAGGAGGAGAAACTTGCAAAAAAGGCTTATCATATGGATTTGACTCGCTTATAAAATATAAGTACATCCCTCTTTCACGTTACAATATCGTTCATCACACGCTTCGCCTTGCGAGGTCAATTTCTTTTAAGGGAAACTACTTGAATACTTGTCCTGACAGGAGTTTTGTAAGTGGATGATGCCCTTCACGATATGGCTTTAGGGGATTTTAGCAAGCATTCTTAGCCAGCTTGTTTTGTTTGTGTTGATATCTCATGATTCAACGAGGAGTTCACTGAAGCTTGGAGAAGGTAGATATATTCTGTAGTGATAGTATAGATGATACAATACTCGTACATTATACTAGTGAGTTCTACTCTTTGAAAAGGAATGAGAAGGGTATCGTCGAGGCTTACGCTTTGGAGGACTTGGAGAAAGTAGAGATCTTTGTGGTATAACAAGAACAGGATTGAAATGGAACTGGAAAGGCACCGATAGCTTTCCTCAGCTTGAAAAGAGCCAGAACAAACACCCACAGATTTCGCCTGGGATATTCCTCGCTCCCCTTAATCTCAAAAGACATACTGCCAACAAGCTTCTGATTCCCTTTGATGAGTAATAATGACCAGTTCACAAATGATGATATCAAAACATAAATGAAGAGGAAGGGTGTTATTGGCCCACGAAAGCGGCATAAAGTGGCTCTCAACTTTGCCACAAAATGGGACATTGACGAGGTAGGTTGTGCTATAGCCTTCCAGGAGTCTTGGGTGCCATGTTTTCAAGCATATATGTACTTATGGCTACTCTAGGCTCCATATACCTGAGATCTGGCAAAAGATTGATATTCAAGCTGGATTTGTTATAGTGGATTATATAGTCATCACAGATATGTGGGGTTGGGATAGCGTTTTGTGTTCAAGGAAAGATTAACAGGAACGTCTTCTTTTGCCTTAGTTGCGTTTTTGGTTACTAGTTATGATGGTAGCAAGAATGTTGCTCGTTCAGACAAATGAAAATTGGTTTGGAGCTGAGAAAGGGCTGTTTACTAGGGAAGACTGAGGAGGAAGTGAGGCAGAGAGATCCATTAGTAACCTAGAAGCTCAGAATGCTCGTTCGCTAAAACAGAATCATCAGCCATTTCAACATGTGAATTTGTTGAACTTCTTCCGGCAGCCAAAGTAGGATAACAATAACCATTGATGTTGTTTCCTGCTGGACCTGCCGCTTTTTCAATCTCTATAGTGGGCACATTGACGATATGAAAACAGACTTCAGACCATTTTCGCAGTTTGAGGCTAATTTGTCAGCTTGGAGAGACAATAGGCTTAGAGAGAAAAGACCAAGTCTATATAGCATTAAAGGAGGCTAGTTCATATGGTTATTACATTCTTACCGCACAAGACGCATACCTCTAATCATAAAGCTGGGTAATTATGATTCATGAAAGAGAAACCCACTATCACAAAGCAGCTCACTAGAGAGACGTAACTAACTTTTATCAATTCATGCTCCTTTCAGCTATAGTACACAGGAGCTTTGAGGATGTTTTCTATAGGCAAACGGATTTAGAAAGCACATAGTAATCTAGAGAACATCAAACTCTACATATTAGATGTAATGGCCATGCTGAGTCTTTAAGCTCGCTTTTTATCCAACATTTCATACTTCAATGACGCCAGCAATGACAGCAGTATACTCTTACTTTAGAGATAGCTACTATCTTGAAACAATTCCTCTAAACCATTGATGAGTTCCTTTTCGTTGGTCGGAAGCGTTCACCGGCGAATGGTGCTCAACCTATCAGAGCTGGTATTGATAGACTTCAGTAGATTTGATAGCACGAAAAGTGACATTAGTTTTACCGTGTTCCCCCTATTCTATTACCGAGTCATAAAACAACGCAGGAAGGAAGGTGTAAAATGACTAGCGAATGCACTGCTCGGTAATCTAGGCACAAATGTCCTTTATCTGCACATGACGGAAAGGCAATTCTGACATCAAGTCTCCATATGTCGGAAGCAAAAAGACTTGAAGTCCTAGTAGATAGCCGTCCATGATGTATACGGGAAGTATTTACCTATCTTGTCACCGATGGAAGCATGCAGGAGTTATTATTTCCAATCTATTTACACAGTGACACAACATCAAATGATTTTACAATAGCCGCCAGGCGTTCCACATCTCGAGTCCATCGAGCACATCTAACACTCTAATTTATTACTTGCTGTAAACGAATGCAACTTCATCTCAAACATCGGCCACCCTTCAGGTCTATCACTTATCGTCTCATTGTCAAAACAACAATCCAATCACTTCCACCCCTTGAAAAAGAGAATGGACCCGGTATCTGGATCCACAATAACGACTCCATCTCCATCCCCATCCCGCATACCTACATGACACACCATCCACCTCAACCACTCACTCCCTCTCGCCTTCACATCCGGATTTCCCATTTCCCATACAAGTAATCCAAATGAGCCGATTGAAAAGCCCATGCCTAGACTCCGGTTTGCCGTCACCAGCCGTCCTCTCCCTCAATCCCATCCCCGAGACGCAAGTCGGTGGAGAATTCGGGCTCATAATTACCAAAAAAAGAGACACCGAAATAGAAGAGGGGTATTAGGCAGCCCAGTTAGGGATGAAATGAGTGAGATGTCATGCATACGGGATCGACCAGATCCTTAAGAGACTCCACATTGGATGATAGATAACATGTGAATGACAAGGTCAAAGATGGGATGGAATTGGCAGCATCGTACAGAGGAACCACAACCACAACTTCTGGTATCGCCCTTCAACATGAGACGGCAGGCAAACATTCATCTGTGCCCTGGGGAGGGGAGTACATATATTCGCTCATTCAAGTATATATTTGCGATAAGCCCAGCACAATATGATAATATCCTTCCAATCGGAAATTTCGTGGGATATGATTGTAAAAAGGAGGGTGTGGTGATACTCAAAGATCTAGAACATTTAGATTCATGATAACCAATTGACACATACCTTGCCATACGCACCTTCTGGGGGCATTTTGGCAAGGTAAATTCAGGTATACAATACCAAATCGCCTCTTCCATTTGTGCGAGAAGCGAGAAGAATAGATGTACTCGAGTATTTCAGTGGCAATAATATACGTACAAAGGAAAAAAGTAGAAAGGGGAAAAACATTTAAGCACCCGGGAACACCCATCTCACCCGAAACCCGACATCCAGGAAGAACAATTCGCCTCATCTCATCTCAACACCGTGAAACGAGAAGCCCGAATATCAAGTTTCGAGAATGTGCCTCACTCATCCTCATCACTGTACCCGACCCCTCCATAATACGACAAGTCACATGTCAAGTCCCGATCTCGCATTTTGCACGATAAGAGAGAGACCCTAGCCGCTTACCACCCTACCTCCCGGAAATGGCTGCGCTGCGTTCCCCTCCATCAGCCACCACAGTACACTATCCAAACCCCTCATTCGAACCGTTGACAACATACCACAACATAACCGATGACAGCTACGAACATCACACAACATAGCACGCACAGCAAGAAATCACCCAACGGTCGCTTCAGGAAACCAACGACCCCTCGCATCGAGCATTTGCATTTGCATTCATCCCATCTTTTCCAATCTTAACCTTACAGTACAGTGCTTGCTTAGATACAACCTAAACGACATCATCAAGTACAGTACAAGTACAGTACAAGTACTCCGTACATACAAAACCCTCCCCTCGGACCCCCCATTTCCCCCACGCCACAACAGCAAACCCCTCAACCACCTATCCACCACTCCAATCCCCCTCCCTCGCTTCACCTCCCTCAACTCCCTCCCTCACCGCTTCCCCAAACCCTAACGATGCCTCCCGCTCCACACATCAGCCCTCACGCCTCGGCTAACCTGCAACGCAAGGCCTACAACGCTTCGAGAACGCCGCCAACAGCCATCTGAATCCAACATAGCACTAGCACAATCCCCATACAGTCTCCGTACTCAATACTAGCAAACAAACCAGCCAAATTACCATACCCATTCATGTCCGTGAAAATAAAATAGGTTTACCATCGATACCATACATACATACCATACCATACAATTCTAATAATTCAAGAGAAAAGGAGGGACCGTGAATTCTAAACACACTCCAGACCCTCGCCTATCGATCAGATCAGATCAAACCTACTCGTACTCCCTACCTACCTAAATGTAGAAACATCCGATCCCAAAAAAAATCAAAATATCTTTATACCAAGTACTTCGAAGTGAAATGAATACAAGGAAAAGACCCCGGATCATTCACTGTACGCGAGGGGGGGTATAAGCTACGAGATATACTTCGTACATTCATTCATACACACCCGTAGCCCGTTACGACCGACGACTACGAAGCGCCATCTCCATCGCGTGAAAAAGAATTGGAAAAATGGAGCGTAAGTAAAATGTAAAATGTAAAACATAAAATGTAAGTAGAGTGTGTAAGGATAAAATTTCGAGAAAACGCCACGCCCCCTCGACCCCGTACTTTTACATACATACATAATACATAATACATATGCATCGCGCTCCACAACTCCACAAAATCAACGCCAGATGCGCTGCGCGTCGTCCTAGCTCGGTGTAGTGTAAGTAGTGTAAGTAGTGTAGTGTAAGTATCACAACCTAATCAGTATGTATATATAGGGATCACCACATCCCTCCAGCCCTCCAGCCCTCTAGATCCAGATCCACATCACATCACATCCCCTCCTCCATAGCATAGCACAGCTGCGTACTTGTAATCAACTATCCATCCCAATAATCTCTGATTCTGTGGTTGTACTTCTGATTCCGATCCACCGCCCTACTCGTATAGTATGTCGATAGTCCTCGGTATCACAACCTACCTAATCAATTAGATTAGATCAGTTAGGGCAAGGACGTCACGTCTTCGTTCATACTGTACCTACTTCGTAGCGATACCTACTCGAGGACGAGGACGAGGAGTAGATACTACTTCTTTGTTATAAGGGTTTATAGGCGTTTTTATATTACGGTACTATTTTCCCTTCGATAACGTTATTTAAATAAGTAGTGGAGAAAGAAAAAAAAAAGGGAATAAAAGTATATTTATCTACTAGTAGAGTACATACTATATATAGTTAAACTTATCAGTACGAGTAACAAGAAGTTAATATTAAGTTAAACCTAATCTAGCTAAAATATCTTATTTACTATTAGTACGAAGTATAGAGAAAGGAAAGGAAAAAGAGAGATAGAAGAAAGGGCTTCGTAACTTCTAATTCCCTCGATAAATAAACGGTTCTACTAGTCCTAGCTATTATACTATATCTACGTAAAGTAAATCTCCTATAATACCTAGTTCCCGTCCAATTCCTTACTATAATACTATAGGTACTTGAACTGGAACTAGTACCTACCTATAATACGATATAATATAATACGATACGGCACCCCTACGATCCATAGACCGTAGAGGAAAGAAAATAAGAATTTCGGACTACGCTACCTATACCAAACCTTCTCTTGGGGTTAGGTTAGTTCCCGAAGCCCGAAGTAGGAGATAGCATGGCGCTTTTCCGAATGGAGGCACGGGAGGTGAGGGATTCTTGATGGGGATTGGGTGGTGATGGTGGTGGTGGTGAGTAGATGGGATGGGATGGGATGGGATGGATGGTACAAGTAGGTAGGTACCTATAGGATCTTTCTTCCTCTCGGTTGGGTCGGGTTTGTGTATGTATGTAAATTTACGGAGCTGTGAACATGAAGTCTGCTACTTGTCTACTTATCTCAATTCCCAACCCAGGGACACACTCCTAGACAGTAATCGATATCAATCAAGAACATGCAACGAGACGACTTAACATCGGATCAGAAAATCGATCACCATCCCATCCCATCCCATCCCATACCAAACACCTCCCCCCCC